AGCGACGACGAGGTGGAGGCGCGCGTGGACATCGACGGCACAGTGCTGCAACGGACGAAGGCCACGACGACGGAGGCAGGCGACGAAGACATCGTCGGCGCGCAGCGCGACTAAAAATTGAACGCGCGTTCAATTTTTTTGAACGCGCGTTTAATTCTTTGAACGCGCGTTAAACTTTTTGAACGCGCGTTCAATTTTTTGAACGCCGGCTTGGGGGGGGGTCTGTGGACGGCCCACGCCGCGTTTCCGGTGCGGTGAGGGGTTTCGAGGCCGAGGGGGGTGAATGGCCGACACGACAGAGGCAGCTGGGGGTTGGCCCGACGAGGCCTGGTGCGGGGAGGGACGTCGGCGGGAGTTGGAGCTTCGTGGGACAGGCTGAGGTCGGACCGCTTCGGTTAACCTATCGGCGAGCGGGCATGATGCCGCGAAGTCAGTCTTGAGTGTTTGAGGATGGGGGGGAGGACGAGAATCGGAAGGCGTAGAAGAAGTGCTGCGTGTACAAGTACACCCGCGTAGGACAGAATCTCGGCGAGAGATTCCGCGGCAATCGCATGCTGAAGTGCGTTTTCTGCGGCCACGAGTTCCAGGGCAACCAGTTCGTGGCGGCGCGCCATTTCCGCCAGGGCAAGGGATGTCCGGAAGTGACAGCGGAGGCACTTGTCGACATCCACTATAACAGTGAGTACAAGATGTCCGACAAGTTCCTAGAGCGGATCCAACGATTTGAGGAGCTTCACGGTGCGGCGCCTGCGATGGATCCGCGACGGGACGAGGGGGGGGAGGGAGGGATGAGGGACGCGGAGGAGCGGATCGACGTGGACGACGACGTCGAGGAGGTTGCACGGGCAGGGCCGTCGGTGAGGGAGCGAGGGAAGGGCGTTGTCAGCGAGCCGGGGGGGCAGCAGGGCCAGTAGTTTGCGTTGGCGCACATGTCGGCTCGTACACGGGCAGGTGCGGATATGGCTGAGGCGGGTGCGTCTGCGGGGAAGAGGAAGGAGAGAGAGGAGGGGGACGGACCGACGGCGACACAAAAGAGGATGAGACAGAAGACGGTCACGGAGTCATTCTCTTCAAAGTGGCAGATGGAGTTCAAGAAGAGGTGGCTGCAGTTTGTGTACAGTCAGCGTCTTGCGTTCAACGTCTTCTGGAGCGAGCCGTGGTTGGACGTCGTCCGACACTTCAGGGACTTGCCGGGGCCAGTGAAGGTGTTGTGGCCTTCAGAGAATGAGATCGCGGACATAGAGACCATTGTCCACATGGCGGACGATGTGGGAGCTGATCTCGCGGAGGTCAGGGATCCTTTCTATGTCACGGGGGCCACCATTATGTCAGACGGAAGGAAGTCACGCGATGCTAGACCCATCGTTAACTTCCTTGCCGGCAGGTCGTGTGGGGTAATGCTCGTCCAGGCGATGAACAGGGAGGGTGAGCGGGATCGGGCGCCTGATGTGTTGGCGCGCTGGATCAAGGTGTTTGATGACTTTTCCCCTAAGTGGGTGAACGCCATCTGCACCGACTCCGCCTCGGCGTACGTCGCCGCGGCGAACATGCTCAAGGGGCCCCAACAGAAGCCGGAGCATCGACTGATCACGTGGCTCCCATGCGCAGTGCGTGTCTGCAACAAGATGTTGTCAGACATTGGTTGTTCGGGCCCGTGGTCCAAGGACATCATCGTGAGGGGGAGAGCGGTGGCGCGCTTCGTTAAGGAGCACGGAGCCGCTCTCCATATCTTCCGGGGGGAGAGCAGTCAGATGGGCCTCATCTATCCTAGCGAGACACGTTTCGCATCCGTGTTCGCGATGGCTGAGCGTTTGCTGGCAGTGAGGTCAGCTTTGGAGAGGACGGTGGATGGCGATACTTGGGGTATGGTCCCTTGGGACCATTCCGTTCGTCATTTGGCTAGGTGGGTCAGGTGGCAGGTGCGACATGGCAGTTGGTGGGATTCCATGGGCATCTTGTTTCGTATCATGGAGCCTGTGTATGACCTGCTGCGCAGGTTGGATCGTGGAGGGCTGCACATGTCGCAGGTGGTTGAGTGGACAGAGGATCTGGCCCACCAGGTAGCAGAGGAGGTTTGTGCACTTCCAGCAGATCTTGCACACTACATTGTGCAGAGGGTGCAGGCTCGATGCGCTCAAATGCTGGAGCCGACGCACGCCGCTGCTCACCTTCTCTGTCCCAGCCGGCGGGAGTTGCGGTACTTCGAGGGCATGGTCAGCGACTACGACGCGAGTTTGGTGAGGGAGGCGGAGACTTACATCTTGTCGCAGACAAGGTTCAGTGTGGCAAGCCGCGACTACGAGACCGCATGTGCACAGTTGCGCGACTTCCATACACGGAGGGGGACGATTGCTTGGGGGGGGAGAAACGGAGAGAGAGATGCACAGAGGTGCAAGGGCGATGCGGAGACGTACGAGTCCGGGTGTTGGTGGTCGAGGTATGGGCAGTACGCCCCGCAGTTGCAGGTTATCGCTCTTCGTGTGATGTACATGTGGACGTGCTCCTCTCCTGCAGAGAGGAATTGGGCCGTCCTCGAGGGTGTACATACGTAGAAGCGTAACCGGCTTGAGTTCGAGAAGGTCGCGAAGTTGGTTGAGATCTCAGCCAACGTCCGCCTTCTCTCTCGTCAGCGGGCAGACCGTGGATTCGTGCTGCCGTGGACTCTAGATGAGTCGTTGTTGGACGTGGAGGGAGGTATCGGGATTCGCCCCTCGTGGAACGGGACGGACGAGAGCAAGATGCGGGAGGAGGTTGAGGATCAGAGACATTCATGGCAGCGAGACCCATGTGGGTCCAGAGCTCCTCCGGGTGATGTGGGCGATGTTTTTGGGACTCGAGCCACCACATTGCACCCGTACCCTCGAGACGATAGTGATTCCGAGGGTCACGAGGACGAGGACGAGCCGGCGGGCCCTGCTAGCGCCAATCCTGCGGCGGATGAGCCTGATGAGTGGAGCGACCCAGAGGACGTCCGTAGACGGAGTGGCGGAGATGACCTTTTCGTTCGAGTTGATTTGGAGGAGTCTGGGGTTCGTCATGGGAGCCCTTTAGAGCGTCCGAGGCCTACGTCCACTGCCCTGCTTCCCGCTGAGCGGGAGACAGATCCTGGGTCTGCACCTTCGAGGGGGGCAGAGTCGGGGATTGGCCATCGTCCTCTGGGTCGCTCTGGCACGACATCATCCACCGCTCTTCCCACTTCGACGGAGCAGCTTCATCGACAGCCAGCCGGTGCAGATCGATTGCAGAGATTGGTGAGGGGCCCTAGACGGCGATTGGAGGACAGATTGGAGGGCGGTCCTATGCCGGTGCAGGGTGACGACGGAGACAGACAGGGGTTGGTTGGTGGAGATGGTGGTGCGCTGGTCGGCGGCGGAGGAGGTGCCGAGGTTGATGCAGCGGTTGAGGGGATATCGATGGGCGGCGGAGGCGATTTCAGTGAGTTTAGCGACATGGGTATGCCCTCGGGAGAGAGCGTGGGTCTGGCCCGGGGAGAGAGCGAGTCCCATGGGGGCATCAGTGTGGGTATGCAGGACTTACTAGGACAGATCAGCTTCGCGGACCCGAGTAGTTTCTCCCCTGCCGTGCGCACAGAGGTGATGTTGGGGGCAGAGGGGGATGAGGACCGAACACCCCCTGGAGAGACATCTGCAGAGAGGCTGGATAGGCTTGATAGTCGTCGAGCGTGCCTCATGGCACAGAGGGACCCCAGGACGCAGGAGCTCGCCCGTCTTGCGGCCGAGGACCGATGGAGGCAGCTGGGGACATTTACGCCGGCGTCCGTTGACGTGGGGCCAGCTGCCCACACGGATACTCCGGCTGAGGTTCACGACACGACGCAGCGGGAGGCGGCTTCGGCAGAGGTTTCGAGTACGGGAGTAGATGTTCAGCAGGGGACGCACGAGAGCGGGTTGGCACCGACAGAGGAGCCACGTTCGGAGCCGGCGCAGCCTCCTGCCGTGCAGCTGAGGCCCTAGGAGACATTGCAGGAGGTCGCGGGTGTGACTCTGCCCGCGGGTTCAGTTGAGGGTGCCGTGCATATGTCCCCGGGTATGGAGGACATACAGACGGGGCAGTCAGTGGGCGTTGATGATATTCGCCCATCGGCACAGGCGGAGGGGATAGCGCCGACCACCGGGGGGGACGGGGCCGTAGCGGGGACCGTTGGTGTTGGCGGGTCGGGGGKGCCGTCCGCGGCCGATCCGATGTCCACGTCTGGCGGGGGAGACCTCGCACAGGTGGACAGGCGTGACGCGGACGGACAGGAGATGCCACAGACTTTGGTGGTTTGCACTGCTGTGGGGCCAGTGGTGCCACATCAGGCACCGTTTTTGGAGGGTTATAGGCGTCCTACACATGGCGGTGGCCCGGTCGAGGAGCGACGTGTAGGCAAGGGCGCGTGCATACCCCCGGTCCCTACTTTTGCGCCGTCACGGACGAGGTCGGAGATTAGGCATGTTGCTACGCCTCGAGGCAGCCTCCCTTTTGGTTTTATGACCGCTGAGGAGTTGGAGGACCACGACAGGAGGGATTTGACGGAGATCGACCAGCGCGTTTTGAGGTCAGTCCCAGAGGAGGGGAAGCTGCCTCACGTGCAGGACTTATCTTAGGGGCCAGCTAGCCCCAGCTTACCTTCTGGGTGTTCCATCGCAGCGCCATCTGGCAGGGCTGCAGGGGGCTTACCTTCTGGAGGTTCCGTCACATCGGCATCGGGCGGGGCCGCAGGGGACTTACCTTCTGGAGGTTCGGTCGCAGCGCCATCTGGAGGCGCCGCAGGGCCTTCGTCACCCTTGACCGCAGCTCCGAGGGAGGGCGGCAGTCTCACCCCGAGGTCGGTTGCCCGTGGACGGAGAGACACTACCCAGCGTGCGTGGGAGTTGCTGGACACCATGTTGTTCGGTCGCACAGATCGACCATGGAGTGAGACGAGATGGGTGACAACGGCGAGTGTCAGTCGTCAGCCAGGTTAGAGAGGGGTTTCCACGAGCCCGAGACGTCGAGATGTTGTAGCTTCAGGGTTTAGCGGTAGAGGGAGTGACGGCGGTGGCAGTGGTGGCGACGACGACGGCAGACGTGAGGGCTCAGGCGGTGCCACGACGAGCGCAGTGGATCCGCCGCGGACGTACGGTTTGAGAGAGACGTCAATTATTTTGGAGGAGCCTGATGTTGTTACACGACTGAGGCAGGCCCGACATGTGCCCTTAGATCGACGCCAGGAGGGGGAGACTTCAGGGACTGACGGTCTACCTATGGCACGCGAGTCACGCCGACGTGATGACCTAGCAGCAGCAGCCATCAGGACGGTGAGAGGCAGGAGAGTCATTATGGACGACGATCCCGACGAGCTTCCTGTCACTCCCGAGCCTTCCGTTGGCGGACGCGACGGCCAACGTCAAAGAGATCGAGGACGTGGCAGTGGTCGGTCCCACGGACGAGTTTCTCATCGGTCCGAGCGAGATCCGCATGCGCACGACGATTGTTGACGGATTACGGACTTGCGTTTTCGTGACTTTCTCAGTGTACTTTAGTTTTTGTTATCCATGACAGACGTAGTGTCTCGTGAGGTTGTATTATAGTCTACTTTCCAGTGGGTACTTTTCTGCGCAGACGTAGTGTTTCGTGATGTTGTATTATACTGTACTTTCCAACAAGCACTTTTCTCCAGTTTGCTACTTCGGAGATTGTAGCTTTCCAGTGTATTTTAGTGTCCTTTTTCGTCAGCATTTTCGGGTTGGCACTTCTTTCCACAGATTGGCGGGGCTTCGACACGATGTGTCAGATTTTTGCTATTATCCATGCTATATTGGTTTGCGTTTGCTTCAATCATTACATCTTCGCATTTGCGATGTTTCTGTTTTCAAACGACGAGTGTTTTATGTGCTTTGAGTCCGCCCTTGGTTTCTCAGAAATCTTACTTCCCACTGTATGAGCACCACAAAAACCTCAGGCACCAGGGGGCGTGGGTAGACTTGGGGGGTTGGGGTTTGGCGCGATTTGAACACGCACGAAATCCAAACCCCCGAAGTGCTTTCAGGCCCCTCATAACCCAAACCCTCCCGTAGCCCCCCCTGGCCCCCCGCCCCCACCCCTGCCCCCGAACCGCCCAAACCACCTTTTTTTTTTTTTTGCTTGCAACCGTTTTTAAAAAATTTATCTAACCGCTTGTTTTGCGCTATTAAAAAAAATTAAAAAGAAAACAGATATTTTGGATAAAAAAATAAAAGAAAGGTCGCAGTTTGTGTGTGTGTGTGTGAATGTGATTATGTGTGTGTGTATTTGTTTGTGTAAATGGGTGGCGCAGTTTGGGGGGTTGTACGTGTTGGCGAAAAAAAAACTGCCCGTGTGTGTGCGACGGTGTGAATTTGTGTGTGCATGTGCGTGTGTGTATGTGTGTGTGTAAATGGGTGGCGTGGTTTGGGGGGTTGTAGTTGTGGGCAGGGAAGAAAAAAAAAAAAAAACGTCCCCAGGGGAAGGGGAGGTGGCGGGAGTGGGTGGCCCTCCGTTGGGCAGGGGTAGGGGAGTCGGGGCTTGGGGGGGGGGGGGTTGGGGGGGGGGGGGGGGGGGGGGGGGGGGGGGGGGGGGGGTATCGGGTGGTCCCGAGGGGCAGTTTTCGCACTTCGGGGGTTTGTCGAACTAGAACCACCACCCGGTAGCCCCAGTCGTGCGCGCGCGCCCCGCGGGACTGCGTTCAATTTTTTCGTGCACACACGCGTGTAGCGCGTTTAAACGCGATTGAACGCGGGGCGGGGGGGGTTGAACTCGCGCGTTTGAACATGAACGCGCGTTCACGGCGTTCAACGGGTTACACAGGCGATGGGGACATCGCATTTTGAGTGGGGGGAAGGTGTGCCATCTATCGATAAAAAAACGTGTAAAAGATAAGGTTACTATGAGCTGAAGAAATTGTATAAATAACTTTGCACAGACTTGATAAAAGGTCTGGCAAGATGTCCAGAAGAAAGAAAAATGTATGTATAATTGACTTTGCGTGGGTTTGAGAAAGGTCTGGCAGGATGTCTAGAAGAGAAATGGTTGTATAATTGACTTTGCGTAGGCTTGAGAAAGGTCTGGCAAGATGTCCAGAGCAGAAATGGTTGTATAATTCACTTTGCGCAGGCTTGAGAAAAGATCTCGCAAGATGTCTTGAAGAAAAAGAAACGTATGTATAAATGACTTTGCGCGGGCTTGAGAAAAGGCCTGGTAAGATGTCCAGAAGAGAAATAGTTGTATAATTGACTTTGCATGGGCTTGAGAAAGGTCTGCCAAAATGTCTAGAAGAGAAATGGTTGTATAAATGACTTTGCGCGGGCCTGAGAAAAGGTCTGGCAAGATGTCAAGAAGAGAAATGGTTGCGTAAATGACTTTGTGAGAACTTCAGAAAGACCTGGCAAGATGTCCAGAAGAGACATGGTTGCGTAAATGACTTTGTGTGAGCTTGAGAAAGGTCTGGCAAGATGGCTATAAGAGAAAGACATGTGTAATTGATGTTGCGCGAGCTTGAGAAAAGTTTGAAAGAAAAACGCACATGAAATGGACTATGTAATGTGCATGTAAAACTGATTGAGCCTGGGTACAAGAAAGGTCAAATAAAAGAGACGTGCATGTGAGGGGCAGAATTAGAGAAAAAACTGCTTAGAATGGCCTGAAAGAAATACGTGCGAACTTGGCTGGCTTGAGAACAAGGGAGGAAAGGGGGACGAGAGGCATGGATTGCACGGGCCGAAGAGTCAAGTAGAAGAGGCACTAAGGGTGACGGAAGCCGAAAAAGGAGGCCTGGTTGGCAAGGGATGGAAGAAGGACCAACCAAAGGGCGTTTGGGGGGGCAAGGCTCGAGGGAGAAGCAGGGGCAGTAAGAAAGCTGAGACGAAGGGAGTTTGGATGTCCTAAGAGTAATGAATGAGACAAAGAGGTTTTGATGTCCTAAGAGTAATGAATGAGACAAAGGGGGTTTTGATATCCTGAGAGTGATGAATGAGACATGAGAAGCCTGAAGGACAAAGAAAGCCTGACCCTACGCACCTCTCCCCGCTTTAAGGGCGGAAACTAGAAGACACCTGAGAAAGGAGTGAGAAAAGACAAAATGGACCCTGACAAACTAACTACCCGTAACATCTCACCCTCCTCCCCCATCTACCCCTCCAAAACCCACTGACAAGAGATTGGTGCGCGATGAGGACATCGCGAATGAGTGGGGGGAATGTGTTGGGACTGGTGGGTTCCGAATAACTTTCCATCACCCGAGAAACTGGATATAGATAAATTGTGCACGACAGAGAAATCTGGAGTAAGGAGGCAGGAGAGAGAAAAGACAAAGGATTAGGCCATAGGAGGGAGTGATGCCCTGGGGTAAGAACCACAGGAGGAAAGAACTAGCGACGACAAGTGAGCGAGTGCAAGAACAGGGGCACATAAAACATAGTATGAGGCCGGGAGGGTCATTGAAATTCGACAAGACTAAGGCCAAAGGGCCCTTGAACCAGCAAGTGCAGCACGGCAGCGATAAAGGAATGAGGAAGTCGAGAGTTGGATGACCCCGGGGCTGTGGGAAGCTAGAGAACGAGGGGCCAACGTGGGGGCCACCAACGGGAGCCTCGGAGCGGAGGCCCACGATCAAAGAAATCGGCGTGCACAAGGCACAAGAGAAACAAGGGAGAGAGGTCATCATGGACCGGCAAAACGCCCAAGGGACGTGGGACACCTCTGGGAAAGGCACCCGGGGCCACGTGGGACTAAGTAAAAATAATGGCATCCGGGGCGAAATATGCCGAGGACCACCCGCAGGACTAAGTGTCGGGGACCACCCGCGAGACTAAGTGTCGGGGACCACCGGCGAGACTAAGTGTCGGGGATCACCGGCGGGACTAAGTATCGGGGACCACCGACGGGATAAGTGGCGGGGACATGTGAAAGTCCCAAGAAGAAATGGCGGCACCACATAAGGGAAAATAATAAAGGCAAGGTGCACCGTCAAGATCAACATCTTGACGGCCAAAAATATTAGCACCGCTAGTGCACTAGCGGTAGCAAACGGGAAGGCCAAAATGAAAAGAAAAAGTAAAGAAACTTGAAGTGGGAGACATGGGAGCAATCCGAAAAATCTCCGATCAGCCTCCCTCAAGAAAATGGAGCCAAAAGAGACCCCATGTGAAAAATAGCCCTCCGGAAGAAAAGCGGAGTAGGAGGGGCCACTATGGGAGGAAAATAGGAATAAAGGGAGACTCCCATGGGTATGAGAAGGCCAGCATTGCAGTCCGAGATATAACGGACTGCACCTTGGGCATAGGAAGGGCCAAAACTAAGAGGAAGGGGCTAGAAAAGGGCCTTAACGGCCACTTGACACTTGGCATGCTAGAAAAAAAAAAGAAAAAAAAAGAAAATGTGGGAGAATAAGACAAAAAAAGTGAGAGGCAGTGAGTGAGTTGGCCGTCAGTAGGGACTGCCTCAAGTAGGGACTGGCAGGTCCCTGCTATCCAATAAAGGAGGAAAAAGAAAAAAAAAAAAAAAAAAAAAAAAAAAAAAAAAAAAAAACGCAACGGTAAAAAACGGTCACTTGGGGAGATTTATCCGTGACCAGATTCATTCTGGAATATGGCGGTAACAAAGGACTTTGATTTTTTTTTATTTTTGCAGAGAAAATCAAAGAAAATCAAGGCCCCATGCAACCGAAATAAAGCGGATTACATGCATGAGGAGAAACACATGTTTTAGGTGCATTCGGAGCCAAAATCAAGTCCGGATGCACCTGGGAATTAACCGCTTCTTTTTCTTTTGAGTAGGGGCTAGATGTGGGGCATTGGGGCTAGGGAATTGACCTCCATTGCAGTCCGAGTTGCAACGGACTGCATGGGGAGGGGAAAACACGTGTTTATGGTGCATCCGGAGGCAATATTGAGCCCGGGTGCACTTTAACGATATATTTTCTTCTAGCAGGGGGCAAATTGTGGGGATGTGGGACTAGAAAGATGACCATGACTGCAGTCCGAGAAACAACGGACTGCATGGGGATGCCAAGGCTAAGGGACAATGAGCCACAGCAAGCCCGGAAGGCTAGAAAGGAGCAATTTCGGCATGGGGAAAGTAAAAACGGTAAACGGCAACCGTGAGATGATTTCTCACGGCGTAGAAAAATCGGCGCACAGATAGAGATGATGGGACCACTAAGGTTAAGGGGGTCCCAAAAATAAAAATGGGACATCATCCGGAATGTTGTCGGGGACCAAGTGGGTCCAAATAATAAAAATCGAAAAACGGGACATGCGTCGGCGGGACCGCCGGCGGGACAAAAAAAATGGAACTAGTATGGAGGAGAGTGGCGAGGACTTGGGATGTCCCAAGGGAACCATGAGCAAGCACAAGGAAGAATTGTGCAAGCAAACAACACCGTCGAGATCAAGGATCTAGATAGTGGAAAATATTAGCAGTGGGGGCAAGTGGGAGAGCCATGGGGAGAAAAGAAAGCAAAATAATGGTGTTAGGAGGGCTTTCCAGCAGTCCGAAATATCTCGGACTAACTAGGCATGAGGAAAGAGAGCCTCAAGAGGCTTGTCCTT